ATATATATATATATATATATATATTCAATATGATCAGACTGATTTTTAGCCTAGTGCATTCAGTCATCAAACAAAAGTGCTATATAGGAAGCTGGCAGTAAAACTGATGCACGATTTCTTTTTAATACATGGAAAAAGCAGCAAAATCATCTACCAGATAAACTGGATGTTGCATTAACAAATCAAAATAAAATAAAACAAAGTCACTTAACAATCTTTAAATTCATCATTGATTTTTAAAGCCCTCTTTTTTTTGGCAATGTCCTGAAGATGTACTATGGCCACATAAATAGGACATAAGAAAGAAAATAAAGATGTTGACTTCATGGTTTTCCCCTCAAGAACATCATTACTATGAACATAAATCACAACTAAAGTTCATGGTTATCACATTATAAAGTGTCTTGCAAGTATACTGGGGTTGAAGATCAAAATGGAGTGTCCTTCCAAAAGAGACAGTGCAGTTCAGTCACAGGTCATGGGACTTGATAAAGGAAATTCTGTCACGTATGTTATGTAGGAGGTCAAAGGAAGTGATCTCAAAGATCCCTTCTGGTTTTACAACCTTTGATCACTGCAAAAATATTTTCATGAGCATTTTTCCAGGTTCTGAATAGTTTGGTTCAAACAAGTTCATGCTGCTTGCTAATTGCTTCTCACAAGCACTTAGGTAAGCCATACAAATGCATCCATTTGTATACGAGTGTCAGCTAAATCAGTGATAAGTATTACCTGCAATGGAGATTTTGTTCAGCATTGGTTGAAAACAACTAGCCTGCTGCTGGTTGTTTGCAAACAGTAAGATAGAGGGGCCTCCCAGGAAAAGGAAAAGGAGAGAGAGAAGGGAATAAGCCTGGCTATGATCACAGGTTTTAGCCTAGGGAAATAAAACAATCGGGTGTTATGAGAAAGGTCACAGAATGAATTACTAAATGGCAAAAGAGAGCACCAGCATAGTATACATCTGCAGCTGTCGTGTGCAATATACCTGCTTTCTTTTTCTGCTTGGGAAAGGGCTGCAGCTTCACCAGAAACTAAACTGCCATCATTTATATCCTTCTTGTATCCAGAGAAGTCCCGGCAGTATTTATGTTGTGCATGTTGGTGTTTTATGCTGTACGTGTTACATTGGAGTTACAACTCACAATTGGGGCACCGCCAGAGGTAGTAAAACATGAGTTGTTCAGTATATTACCTGAGAACCCGTGTGGGTCCCTGCCAGGTCTAACGAACTGTTCCTCACTGGACTAGACCTAGAGAAGTGAGGAAGGGGGTAAGGAGAGAAGGAAAGAAGGGAGAAAACTAGTAGAGCCTCCAAAGTCATTAGCACGCCGTATGTAAGGAGCACGGATCATCTGTATGCAAAAATCAGTGCCTTGGATTTTAAGCTTCTGTCTTATGAAGATGGGAAATAAAAAAAGAACTAAAGGATGTTCCCTGATAAGTTATTTCTATTATTTTGGACATTTACCTGGCCCACCCCCCCTCAAATAGTCTCAAACAAGTCATGATTTTTGTGAGCAGAGAAACAGAAGAGGTTGCCATGGGGAATGGGAGACAAAAACAACATTACTCGTGAGCATCAGCAAAGCATTAATTAAAACACGACTCTCCTTCCTCTCTTTTTCTTTATTTCTTTTGAAAAAAATCAGTTTATAGTCAGGTTGCTTAGAAAATGGAGTATTTCTCCCATGCCCCATGGAAAATTTTGGCGAGACTTCATAAGAAAGATAAAAAGCAAACACCTTTCACAAAAAAATATCAATTTATCAGACACACACACCAATTTTCTACTGAAAAACAGCTTTGACAGAAAATTTTTCATCAGCTCTTTCCAATGTCTAGAAAAGGTTTGCTGCTTTGGCGGGCCTCCGTTCATGTGTAAATTCTTGTCTCCCGCATCACATTCCTCCCCTATCCTGGCAGAATGTAGGTGTTGAAAGGGAGATCGATAAATAATAATCCAGTATTATCTTGGAGCTTTTCCCACGGAAAATATCTTGCTCAGTTCTGCCCCATGATTCTAATTAAGTTAGCACCTGCAAACAGGAAATGGAGCCAAAGAACTATGAAACCAATGAGGTTTTCTTACCACCTAAAGAAAAAAAAGAGTGCTATTAAAGTAGAGAAAGCAACCAGGCAACCGCTGTGTCAGAGATTCCTATGATTATATAACCACCATAGCCATAAAATTTCACAGGGCACGCACATTGTACAGGACACAAGGCAAGGAAATGAGGTTATTTACTGATGCAACTTCTCCCTTTGTATCGGCAGTGAGACTGCACATACACCTAAACCAATTAGAATGATATTTTCTTTAATGCATTCTCAGTATAGGTTGTTCTCAAAAGCAAGCTCTTGAATCTGTTAGGATTTTCTCCAGGATTGCAAAGTGCATTATGGAATAATAGAGCAAGCATCATACTGGTTAAGGTATCGGTCTGGAATTCATGAGACGTGGCTGTAAAAGTCTTCTCTGCCACAGATTCCCTGCGTAGCCCAAATCAAATACTTCAGTACAACTAAATCTCAAGCACTGCTCATTGATAAGCATTTAAGCAATTACTTACCTTGCTCAGCTGGAACCTTAAGATGCCTGTTCTCAATCATCTGCTTGCATGTTTTATCTCTTCCTACTACTCTGTTCACTTACAATATCACTTTTTAGGTGAGCTCCATTGGTCATGCTACTAACTACCTGATGGGAGATAAGGCAGGCAGATGAAGCACTGATGCATTAACTAATTAGTTAATTAATCAGAGTTTTGCATAGGCACCTTTAGGTGTGGAGATTGTGTCAATAAATACCCAAGCAGACCTGTTAAATACTAATCTGATACAAAAATAATGCAGTGGTTTAAGGTGAATATCCTAGATTCCTGTGTCAACCGAATTCGTGGCAGCTAACTAAAACTGTTACCTTTAACAAACTGAAATATTCTTTCTTTATCTGAAACCCCATGCTTCCCAACACATGCAAAGAAACAGAGAGAGGGAGAGAGAATTATCTGTATCCACCTTGTTTGTGGATTGGAAATAAATTCAGTCTATCAGTAATGTATTCAAATTAATACAGAACAAATCAGCACAGTCCCCATGAAAACATTCCTCCTCCTTATGCAAAGTTCAAAGAAACTAGATGGTTAAAAAAATGTACGAGAACAGCTCAAATTTAAGCAAGATATTACATGAATTTCTGTCTACCTGAGACAGAAACTCAAGAGAAATAAAGAAACAGAACAACAAAAAGCCTGAAACAGGCTTGCCTTCCTTGCCATATTAACTCAGGCATATTGCCTCAGTTTTGGACTGGGAAGGTACTGCGTTCAACCTCAAGAACTAGAGGAGGTCAGCTAGAGAGCTGACAACGCAAGGGAACATGTCATCCCTCTCTCTGAGCTGATGTGAAAACACTAGAGCCATACACCTTGACCACATGCATGGATGCATCTACACAATGCTACTTCTAGAGTCTCTCTCGTTGCATGTTTAACTTGGGCTCAGGTCATGTCCTATTTAATTAAAGACTCATAAGTCTCTAGGTGAACTCTTAATCTGGTATGAGAAAAGGTGAAAAGAACAGGAAAACAAATCATAACCTCTGTGCATGGGCACCCCACCCAAGTCACATGAGCTGATGAGGCAGACTGGTATTCCCCAACACAAACCTGTTCTCAAGAAGAGGTAAAACCTTCCACAAAACTGACAGGACTGGCAGCAGTATTGTAGGATGAGTCTCCGTTCCAAAGCCCAGCCCTGCATAGATCCAGTCTCTAGAAGGGAAACCAGTTAAAGGAGATTTGAGAAATTGAGCAGACTTTCTGAGCTCTTGTACATGTGACAAGGGTTTAGTCCTCAGGGTTTTATTCTACGCCCCCTAAACTGAAATGGTGGGTTTTTAATTGAAACTCACCATTTCATTTTTTCTGTCACATTGTGGCAAGGGGCCCGATCCTTTTTTGGGTTGTTTTTTTTTTTTTTTTGGGGGGGGGGGGGGGGAGCCAGAGCCTGCCTGCAGCCAGCGGGTGAACTGCTGGTGGGCCAAGCAATCCCTAAGCTGTGGGGTTCCCCAGTCCTTCCCTGTAGGCAGCACCCACTGGGGCCACCCGGACAGGCTGCTAGCAGGCTGGGTGCTGCTTCAGCTCAGAGGCAGCACCTAGCCCAATCCAACAATTCCCTGAGCCTGCCTGAGGGACAGCACCTGGTGGGCTTCCAGCGAGCAGGCTCAGGAAAGAATTGGATTGGGCTGGATGCTGCCTCTGAGCTGGGGCAGCATCTGACCCGCTAGCAGCCCTCCCAGCTCACCCCAAGAGGTACCGCCATCATGGAGGGAAGGACCAGTGCTCCCCACAGCTCAGGGACCACTTGGCCTGCCAGCGTCTCACCCCCCAGTTGCAGGAAAGGCAGGCAAGCTCCACCAAAAAAAATAAAAAAAAGAATTGGGCCTCTTACCACATCTGCCTTTAGCAGGCTCCTGTGGCTGGCAAGATGGCTAAGACCACCTGGAAATGGGCTGACTTGTCCCTGGAGCAGCACAGGAAGGTGGTAGGAGGCTGGTTGGTTTTGTTGGTGGCCAGAGGAGGTGGTGGGGACAGTTTGCAGGATGCTGGAAGCTCAGGCGGGCTTGGGGAAGTATTGGATTAGGTGTCTCTGAGCTGGGGCAGCACCCAGCCAGCTAGAAGCCCAGCTGGGCTTCCAGCACCCCGGGCATGGGCAACTGGTGCCACCTTAGGGAGGGGTGCATGCCCCCCCCGCCCCGTGGCCAATCTTGCCAACCAGCAAACTCATTTAAAAGCTCCAAAACTCTTGCATGTGCACACCATGATGCCATTAAGCCACACAAAGTGAATTTTTTGTCATGTGTAATTGGTAATGGTGTCACGTGTACAAGTACCATCTCTTGGCAGCACCAGACTCCAAGAATAGCAGGGACTTCCAAAGGCAAGAATCAGAAGCAAAAGCAGCAAGACTGGAAGAGGCCCAGCTGGAACTCTTCAACTTTCCAATGTGCTCCTCAAACCCTTCCTTCTGTTTTCTACCCCTTCCCCCCCCATAATAAATAAATGCAATTGATGAGATATGTACCCTTTATCACCTAGTCACTTTATGTGTATAAATGTACAGGCCAATGTTTTCCTATGTAGATTTAGACTGTCAGGCACCCTTGATTGGGACCTGGATTCAGATTGGAGCTTTTGAGAGTTACTTGAACTCAGCTAATCAAGGGGCAACTTGATCCCCTGAATAGTGCATCAGCCTGGGAGTCAAGATAAATGGGCTGTACTCATACATCTAGGTGAACCAGCCAAATTCTTTCATATATCTGTTTTCCATGCCAAATCTGTTTTGTCAGTTTTTCCATTAGTGTTTTGGGGCTAGGACCTTCTCTTACCATGTGCCTGACATGGAACCATGATCTTAGTTTGGGCCAATGTAATATAAATAAGAATAAGAATAAGAATAACTTAGGTAGAGATGTGGGAGATAAATGTGAAAACCAAGCTCTAAAGCAGAGTTGCCAATATTTGTTACTCTTTATTTACTTGTTCTTCAACTATTTCTTTCATTAAGCTACAGCCAAAATTATCATTTATTGCATCTTATAGAAACCTGAACAAATAACCTCAGGGCCCTTCAGCCTAGGAAAATGATGTGGAATAAAGAAAGAAAAGATGTATATTAAGACAAGGACACAAATTCAATTTATTTGTCTTTTTATAATGGGAACAACAACATGCTTCCAGCTTCCAAGATTATTTACTCTCTGAAATACTTTTTCAGGGAACGTGTTATGGCCAGATTCACAAATGGCTTCAGATAAGGACCCAGACTTTGAGCTTGTTCAGAGTAATTTAATCAATCTTCAACAAAAAAAGCAACAGCCAAGCATTATGGACCAAGTCAATACTAACTTGATTTCCCAAAACTCATTTTGAATAGTGACTTCCAGGAAACAACTGGTAGTTCCCAAACTCTGAGACTCAACTATAAATTTAATTTTCCTTAAGGATTGCAATCAAGAATTTTGTTTGTTTGCTTACTGTCATTTCCATTAAGTACAAATACTGTGTACTGGGTGACATTTTGTTCTTTTCCTGATCAATCTGATTTTTTTAAACATGAATCAATGTATTTTGCAAGGTTGTTACCACCTTGTAGTGACTAGAAATATAAACAAAACTCATTTTGCTACAATGAGAATAAGCACATAGCATAAATTTAATCAGCCTGCCTACCAGATGAAGAAAAGAGTAAGGCCAATTCACTCATGGAGTAACCATTTAATTATATCAGCTTGTTACTGGATTACATACAAGCCCAAACACAAACTCTTGCACTTCTGACTACTCAAAAATATTTAAGAATTTCTTTTAAGCTCCTTGAAACTATGGATTTTATTACCTTATCCCTAGTTTAGATAAATGCCCAAGCTAAAATTGCCTTTTACTAATGAAATTATGGTATTATTGCTACCAAGTTAATCATGATACTTTTATTCCCATTGATTCATAACTTACTCCACAAGTAACCTCATTGACTTTAATGAGACTATTCATGAAGTAATTCGTTGGGTGACATCCAAGTGCCTTTGATGTCAGCGGGGGATTTGTCATTGACTTAGAACTGGGCCCAAAGTGAATTAGGGTTTCACAGGACGTGTATACATGAGATGCTATGTTGCCATAGCAACAAGCTATGGCAACGTAGTTCATCATTATGACGATGTAGCATTGGCAGGCACAAACAGTGATGCTGGTGCTATGTCACTGTAGTGACAAGCTACGTCACCATAGCTTGTCACTACGACAATGTAGCATCTAAAAATAATTGTGCACTGCCAGGACTGCACAGTCATTTAGTACTTCCTAAATTTAAAGACTGCGAAGTACCAAATGCACAGTAAGGGGCACATGTAGATGCACCCACAGCCTGGCTCTTTTTGTAATACATTTAATCTGCAACTACTCCCACAAAGAGACTATTTAAGGAGGAAGTTTCTACTTAACATGATAGAGCATGGCAGAGTTTGGATCTCATTATAGGTTAGATCTTAATAGTGGGTATGGCCATTGAATTCAGGGCGAGTAAACTCCATCTTCCCAAGGATAGCTGCAAGATGCAGTACGATTTAGAAACATGCCTTCCCTTTGTTATTTTTGCCCAGGCGTCCCAGCCATCCTGACCTACTTGATGTGGTCCCTTTTGTCTAACAAAACTTAATTGAGGCTTGGTAATGCGAAACAAGAAAAATGGTGCAAGTGGGTGTAAGGTACAAGAGAACTACAACAGAAAAAAAATTCTGTAGATCTTTTGTCTCATCTTGGCAGAGATGGCCTCACCATTTCTGGCCAGGTCTGCAAAGCTGTATTTTCTCCTCCAAAGCTACCTTTCTCCTCCAAAAATATAACAGATTCCTGTCCATGTTCACCAACAATGTGCAAAGGACCTGCCTCCAGATTTAGAATGTTCTAGCTTTCTTGTGCTTGCTTGCTTTCCTTCCTTCCTTTTTTATTTTTTTGGAGGGGAGAGATTGGAGAGAAGGGGAAGAGGGCTTAGTGATTTTTAAAAGACTGTCCTACTTGTGCTACAATATATACACCCAGGAAAACTAAAGGTTTTGTCTGGAGCTTTCTTGGTGTTTTGATAAAATTGTCATCAAAAAATTGCCATGTGAAAATAAGCATAAAGATAATTCCCGAAGCAAATTGCAAATTTAAGAGTCAGGGACACAATGGGCTTTTTATTAATTTATTTATTTAAATCAAGCCTTGATATTTTTTTTAAATAAAAAAATATATGAAATAGTCTCAACAGAAATTAGGGACTAAATGCAGTAATTATTGGGTGAGGTTCTTTGCTCTGTGTTATACAGAAGGTTGAGCAGGATGATCATAATGGTTGCTTCTGGCCTTAAAATCTGTGAACCTATGAATCATGGTAACGATATCTCTGCCAAATCATTTAGAAGCATATACTGCATTAAAACCTGTTAATTAACATGTATTCATCTCCCGCTTGCTACCTGTGGAACTAAACTGTAGTCATTTCTAAGCTGTAATGAACTTATTTCGTTCAAGCCATTTATACCCTGGACTCTGGCTTAAGTGAGCCTAGCCTATGTGTGCCACAAAGGTTTTAGCTTGTTGAAGTCTTCCAATAACAGACAAAGGCAGTTGGACAATCACTTTCCACATATTTATTCCATTAATAAATTTAAGCATTGGTGTGGAAGATTAGGGGTTTATATGATAAAGAGAAGGTGGAATCAAATATGGATGAGTCCTTATACATTTTGGTATACAGATTAGAGTCTGGAAGAGGCCTCCTAGGCCATCAAGTCTTAGGCCCCTGCATTTGAATTACATTAGATAGTACATCAGGGTAGTTGTATGGCTCCTCAAAAGTCTGTAAGTAAAGGCATATGTAGGGGTAAGAAAGGGTAGGAAGGTTCTGAGGTCTGTATTTGTGGGTCTCTCTTAGATTAAGAAAGAGTCATTATTCTAGCTGAGTCCAAGACAATGTGCATGCCTTTCACACCCTTTGGAAGTTTCTCAAGTTCATCTAACCCAGTGGTTTTCAACCTTTTTTCATTTGTGGACTCCCAAAAACATTTTGAATGGAGGTGTGGGCTCCTTTGAATTGTGTGAAATACATTTGATTGATCATAGTCATTTGTTGCAGGTTCCTTAAACATAGTCTGTGGACCTCCAGGGGTCTGTAGACCGCAGGTTAAAAAACACTGGTCTAACCAATAGTTGAACATATGATACCTATATCAATGCTGATGAACTTTAACCTCAGTCAATAACCTCACAACTATAGCCTTAGTCCAATTCCTTGTGAATTTTACAAATCCCATGTACCAGCTCTGATGAACCTTACAGAGTTTGCCAGACCACACCAATATCTTAATATTCAGCAGTACTTGATAGCAGCTGCTGCCATTTCTGTTTCTGAGGTGAATAACTGCAACCATCATCTCAGCTTCTCAGACACAGCCATGTTCACTAAGGCTAGGTGCAACCATTCAAAAAGCCCAAGGTGGAATTGATCTAAGTTGCATGGTTGTCCAGAAGTGGCGTAGGTTAGATCGGTAGTGAACAGAGCGCACGTTCACCCTTTGGTGAGGGTGGTGCAAATCTTAGACCAGGTTCCACCATTTTTAAATCAATACCAAACTTCTGTTCTGTTTTGGGTATAGACAAATTTCTGATCACTCATACACGTAAAAGTGTAACGGCTGTCCCTGGCCTAAATCTCCCAGACAGTTCTTGACTGATCTAAACACGATCTCTTTCAACCAAGCAAATTTGGAGCTTTGTGAAAACAAAAGTCATTTGCTAGTTATGAGGTACATGTGATTTTTCTGGACCTCATTTCCCTGAAACAGAATCTCCAATTTATCACTAGTTCGCCTATGCACATGGGACACTCAAACATGAAGACTAGAGGGTCTTTTATTGAGGATATTAGAGCAGGACTCACCAACCTGCTAAATTTAAAGTGGAAAGCTGGTTACAAGCTTGCCTATAAAAGGCCGTCTCCTCTCCATACCAGTTAGCCATTTTAAGGCTTTGGTGAGAATGTATATAGGCTCTTTGTGTTCCAGCTGTAGAGCTCTATTGGGCCTCTAACCCAGCCCCATGCTGCTCTCTCTAGAACAGACAATAAACTACAGGCAACCCTCACTTAGCACTCTTAATTGGTTCCTGAAAAACTGAGCATTAAGCAAACCCAGTGTTAAGCGAAACTGAAAGTATTTGACAATAGAGATGGCAACCATGAAAGTTATAACAAAACTCGCTGAGCGCTAAGTGAAATCGGGTATCAACTTTAAATGAGTGTTATAGCGAAATATCACTAAGCGAAACAGCACTGCCTATATTGTCTATTCTAGAGTCTCTGTTTTTTACTCTTTCCATCTATACTTCTGTACCTCCTACAGAGCTTTATCCAGGACTAGCAAAGGGTACACTACTGTATTTGCTTGGTAGACGGCCCTTGTTACTTTGAAAGTTAACCCAGCAGAAAGCATATGGCCTGCTGGCCTTCTCTGGAGAGAAGCACCTAAAAAAATATCCCAGGAATAAGCTAGGGAGATGCAGGAGGGCCATGAGCCAGATCCTGAAAATGACTTTAGGTAACTAAACCCCAAACTGTTATTTGTAAAAACCCCTGCTCAGCTGTCACTGATCTCTGAAGGCGTTCTATACCCCATACATGCCTTCCTGTTTCATTAATCGAGTCTGCTGGAGTATGCTAATAGCGTGCTCCAGCAGCCTCAGTGGCACATGTAGTCAGTGTCCCCATGCTTCAAAATGAAGATGGAGGTGCTTTAACTAAAGCTCTTTAAACAAGCTTTAGTTAAAGTGCCCCCACTGCTCTTTTGAAGCATGGGACACTGAATACATGAGACACTGCAGGCACTTTAATTAAATTGGCTGTTGAGAGCCGCTCTAATTAAAGTGCACCCCCCTGCCCCACCCCCTCCTCCCCCAAGAATGTGTAAAGATGCCTTGTGTGTCTAACCTTCAGCTGGTATAAATCTTGTGCCTACTGAAGTCAGTAAAACAGGCTGATTCATACTATCAAAGGCTCTTGCATAAAGTTTCCTTTTGCTCACTTTGAAGAAAGCACCTGCCCTGGAACTTCAGGTAGCAATGTCTTTGATGCACATTATGCTTTTTTCAGTTCAATAATCCAAACACCCCTGGCAAGGAGGAGGTCTTTGTGCATCCGTCTCTTCTTCTTATGGCAGGAAGCCTGGGCTCTAGTACACTTAGCACGAATGAGATATGTTCTAATTTCAAAGTGTTTTTAAAACATTAGCCAATTAATTAATCCTCGGGCTATTTTCTGTTACTGGGTAGTGTGTTTGCCCATTTAGCTCCATGTGCACACAGCATGTTGATGTTGTTGACAGAAGGCTTGAGTATAAATCAATCTATAGTCACATGTATAATCTGCAGTAGGTTTTTTTTTTTTCTACCAAACAATACCAAGTCTTCCTGTAGAATCTGTAGCTACTAAGGCAGCTCAAATAAAATGTTCCACCTGAAAGTAAGAGAGCCAGTAACCCAGTGATTAGGATGTAGACGTTCTCTGGGATGAAAAGTTCTTCTCAATTGGGAACAGAGCCTTGAATCTCAGTCCTCCTCGTTCCAGGCAAGTATCCTGACATAATGGTCTCTACAATGGGACTTTTGCCAGCACAATCCTAACCAACAAAGAATTTCTAGTAACGCTCTTTTGCATAGAAGAGACCTGAGCCTGGCTTTCAGAGATATTAACAGCAGTGGGAATGTATGGTCTGCAACACCTCTAGATAGCAAAAGAAAAAATACCCCCCCACCCTGCTTAAAATAGGCAATATATAATTACTTGTTATCAAAGCAGCCTCAAACCTGCAAAATTCATTCCACTTCAAGACTTATGAATTATTGAAACAAACTTCTCAGATTCTCTGATGGATCCTCTATGAAAGACATTTTTTTTTCTCCTGGTGTGTTTTAATTCATCTCTGTCTATTTATGGTACAAAAGAATGCCAAGACAGTGATGCATGATTCTGCTGTGTGTTCTGCCAATACCTGGAGTCGTCAGCTGAGATAATGGTGCGCTGCACAATGATGCGCACAAAAGGTTTGAAACCGTATTCATTCCAAACCAAACACAATAGGCACTGCCTCTCTCAAATGCAGAACATGACGGCCTTATTATTTAATGAAACATGAACATCTCTTGCTGTACAGAAACAAAGTGTGATTTTAACCTCAGAAAGGTACAATGCTGGTTATCAAGTCCAGGCTTCCTCTAGTTGGTTACATCCCACCGTGAAACTTAATAAAGATTCTCATTCTTCTGTGTGTTAACTTTTAATGCAAAACACAAAACTGAACAAATGTCACTTAACCTACGTGGTATTCATTCATTCCATTTTGTGGCCAGGCCTACAGGCAAATGAATGCATTTTTCTTAACCCGTTTGTCACGAAACAAAGATAAAGCACATTTTGACTACTGGACTGTAATATGTAAGTTAAGTATGAACATAATAGCACTCTGGAAATCTGGTAGGTAGCAGCTTTCATTAAATAATGTGAGAGACTTTTACAGGCATTATTAGCAATCACAGCACTTGTGTGTATTAGATTATTATATGCGTTTTACACAAGAAGCTCTGTACCAGATGAGAATAGTGATTCATTTAGTCTACTATCCTGTTCCTGACACTAGTCAGAATCACATGCTTCAAAGGAAGGCGCAAGAAACCCCACAGTGAATAATTATGGAATAACCTAATACATAGGCAAGGTTCCTTTTTCATACCCATCAGGAAAAGTCTGGCCTAAAATCTCTCTGTGTCTTCATTGCCTAACTTTTGGATTTTCTTTATTTTTAAATCCTCTCCAGTGCAACAATGGACATTTTCATTATCCGATAAATACTCAGTCTTGCTAAGCTCAAGGTGTCAGTGGTGTATTATGGCAATGCATTCCACAGACTAGTCATTCATATGTGGGAAGGGTATTTCCTTTCATTCCTGCCAAAAATGGTCACTTTCCAAACTCACTGAACATCATCTTTTTCTTACAGTAGGAGGAGAGACAAATAGGAATACCCAATTCACCCCTCCCTACCATTCATTAATTTGTCATCCTATTAAGAAATCAGAAGATACTTTTAGACCTATGATTTCCTCACATGGGAAAGAGAATGGGCATATTATTATTATTGTTGTGGTGATGATGATGACGATGATGATGTAACTCACTGTTGGCCCTGAGGGACAATTAGCACTTGTCTCTTGTGAACTGGTAGGAGAATAGAGAAGGAAAGTGGAAAATATGAAACATGTTGTCTCTTGCTTCTCTTCGAATGAGAGTGGCTGATGTGTTTGTTACAGCGGTAGTTGAAGCTGACTGGCACCAAGCCCTGACACGTTCCCTCTTTAATAAAGTGTGCTTCCCTCACCACCAAAACCTAATCAGTGTAACTTGCTTGAATCAGTTAAAATATAAAACATGCCAGACACTTAAGATTTTCAAAGAATCATGTCATAGCCTCCTAATCAGAGCTTCATTTGGTGTCATTATTTGTTTGGTTTTACATGCCTTCTGTCTCTTGCATGAAAATATCTGGTATCTCAAACTGTCACAACTCACTTGGAGAAGCGGAGCAAGTAGTCGTGCTGCATTTGGAAATTCCTAAACACAATGGGGCTCGCAATGTTTGTTAGGTGGTGAATTATTGATTTATTTCAGAGATTTTCTTTACGGCAAACTGAAACTTTATGTAAACTAAATACAGCTTCACTTGAGCTAATTATTGTGAAGGGAGCCATAAAGATACTGAGCTAGATAATTATATTTACTTGGCATGCATGCTGTAAACCAAGACCTCACCCAAATTCACATATACCGCATGTACCTTATTTCCAGACGTATTTCATGAATGCTTTCTCTGCTACTGACAACAATGCGCTTCAAAGATATTTATCTGAAACAATAAACATCCACGGTGGTTGTCAGCTCATTTGGCCCGAGTCAGCCCCTGGCATCCATATATGGAGCATACATGTATCCCAATGATCTCCACCGAAGTCTGGGGCTGAACAGGACTAGGAAGTTAGAAGTGAGAAGCATTTGTTGGCCACTTCTGAGACACTTGTTTAAACATTTCTCAGGAAAAAATAGTTCATTATTGCCTCCTCCCTTGCAGTGGATGAATTTGTAATTTTTTTTTTTTTTTACACAAAATGGAACAGCTTCAACAAGACTTTGAGTGCATCTTCTCCCCACTCCAAAATAGACTGCTTTAGCCTATGGTGGTGGCAGACATGCACAACCAGGGGTGGGAATTAAACACAGGTATCACCACTTCTTGGGTGACTGATCTAACTAATAGGCTGCCATATAAAAGGGGCCATTACTTTCACACCACTCTCCTTTGTTTTTCAAAGAAAGGAACAGCTGCTGCCTTGTTTTGTATGGAGATCCATCCATAGATGTGCATTAACCATGCTCTAAACACACCTACTGAATCAAATCTCTAAGGGCAGATAAGCAGAGGAATGCCTAGTTGTGAATCTTGGTGGAGCTTAGACTCAGAGCTGCTCAGCGCTGACCAGGCTCAGATGCCCCTGCACATGCAGAAGCAGAATGTCAGGAATTTAGGAAACTTTATTAGTGAAAATTTGCACAGGATTAAGGATTGAATTTTGACACCTAAATTCTGTCCTCTTTAGGTGCTTGGGTCCCTTTTTGTACCTAGCCCCAAAATACCTTAGAAAAATCTGCCCTTTAAAGGCTCCGTCTCAGTTCCCCTATATAAAATGGGGACTTTAATACTAGGGCTGTGCGAAGCTTCGGGTGCTGATTCAATTCGCAGGAGATTCAGCCCGATTTGGTGGCCGAATCTCTGAATCCGAATCGAATCAGGGGACCATTTAAAAGGTCTGAATCGATTCTCAACTCTCCGAATTTTTGGAAAAGATTCAGAAAGCTTCAATGCTTCGGACAGTCCCAGCCCATTGCAGCAGGGAGCTGCAGCCAGACTTGGAGCTGATAAGTAGGGGCCCCGCCTGCCCCAGATCCCAGTGCTTTAAAAAAAAGCCCCACTCACAAAGTGCTGCTGGGTGGGGGAGTGACCCCCAGTGCCCCCCACTGCCTCACACTGTGTGGGGGGCTCTGCATGTGCCCTCAGACCCACCCCCCCAAGGCTGCCCCGCCTGCCCCAGCCCTTTAAGAAAAAAAAAAAAAAAAAGAAAAACCCCAGGACTCACCACACCTGCAATGGCCTCTGGGCTTCAGGGGGCTAGTGCAGAGCCCCCCATGTGGTGCAGGGCAGTGAGGGGCAGCAGGGATCACCCCCCACCCAGCAGAAACAGTGAGTCAGGGGGTTTTCTTGGGTTTTTTTTCTTCAAGGGCAGGAGCTAGGGCAGGCGGGGCAGCCATGCAGGGCTGGGGAAGCGGGGGGCAGGGCAGCTCAGAGAGGTCATGCAGAGCTCCCCATGCATAGGGCAGTGGGGGGGCAGAGGGTATTGCCCATCCAGCAGCACCCGGTGAGTTGGGGATTTTTTTTTTCAAAGTGCCGGGAGCTGGGGCGGGCAGGGCAGCAATTGCCAGGCTGGGAGGGAGGGCAGGGGATGGGCCCTGGCCTGGGTGATTCAGAAATTCAGCAGCAGCCAAATCTCTGAATCAGATTCAGCTGAATCGATTTGGGACAGTGATTTGAATCACCAAATCAAATCACTGTCCCCCAAATCAGCCTGAGTCCAAATCCGAAGCAAATACTAGCCACTTTGCACAGGCCTACTTAATACCTTCCTACTCACACTGGTGTTATAGGAACAAATTAACCAATCTTTATAGGGAGGAGGGGGAACTCTGGCTATGATAATGATGGGTACCTTAGACTTCAAGTTTAAAAGTATCCTGAATATGGGTAAAATCTCTCATGCGCACAAACCTGGATACATTTTAAATAATCATTGAACCTGCAGGAGGGCCACATCAATCTTTAAACACAAATAAATTGCTCCTTGGCAATTTCCATTATAAGTGTTAGCTAAAGAAAATAATTGATTTACAGGACAACTAAAGCAATTATCATCTTTTCAACAAAGAAAGAGAAAAGGAGAGAGAAGTTTTGCTTTTGAAGTTTACCAGGTTGACAGCAGCGGTGACAGTCCCTCATTACAAAGACCGTCTTCCAGTAAATAGGGAACCCAGCAGTGAGTCTACGGATGACTGAGGAGGCCCATCTGAGACTGGTATGTCCTTCCCAAACCACATTCATCCATTTTTAGTTCTACTTTAAGAGAGAAAAGAAAGGAATCACCAGTCTCCCCTAGAATAAGCCTAAAGTAAATAAGTCAACCTGCAAAACCATTATCTGGCATCCAGAAAGCTCTCAGTACCTTTCCTGGGGCCTGATCTCTCCCTTGTGTCTTAGAGTCTGAACCTTGCAAACCCAGAAAATAAATATTGCAAAAGGCAACAGATTTCCTGCCTTAGTCCTACCCCATCAGTGGCACATTGCAGTAAAATAGAATTCATGCACACTTTCAGCCTCTGGAAATTTCCTTTTGTACAGTCTATTCAAACCCTCAAGTGACATCCAAACTCAGAAACAAGTTCCCAGTATTATATATCAACATCAGAGAAACATTAGAGAAATATATTTGTTTATTTGCATATGAAATGACTAAAACCAGACTTTTTTACACGTTAGTTTTGCATTGAAAATGCATACATTTTATAGTGCAGTGTTCTACACAGAATATTACTGGCAATCAGATCGGGGGCATATGGGACTTTTTGTCCTTTGTGAAAACTGTTTGAGATTGGAGTATTTGAAAAGTAAAGCCCACTCTGTCCTTGTTCTAATTCCATCAGCTTCAGCTTGTACCTCATGTTTCGCTTTTATTCGCATTAGGTTATTTCTGCTTGAAATGCTTTGTTAATTTATTTGTGTTTTCCATTTAATTAAGTTCTCTGCCTGTTAAACCATTAACCGTATGTTTTTACTGCCCAATTCTAATAAAAGGGAAACTGAGGCCTTGCAAAAAAGATTTTATTGAAGAACCATAAAAGAGAAAAGAGTACACAAAATCCATGAATCAACACCCCATTAGCCCAAGATAGTAGAAAAAGTGTAGTAGGAAGATATTTGGTTATCTTTCCAGCTCTGTCTACAGGCTGCTCAGACTGTCCCTTCAGCTAGCATGGGTGCCTATGGTCTTTTTCTGTCAAAGCACTCACTCAAAAGCATCCAGTGCAGCTGCAACAATGTTTCAATTATCTCTGAGTGGTAGTAACAGTATCCTCTGCACACAAAAAGTGGTTGAAGTAGAAGGACCCAGGCCCCTGGACCACAGTGAGGATAGCCACACCAGGCTTAACACTGCCCACAGCCCACACACACACAAACACAACCTGGATCACTTCCTATCTCAATCCTTTAGTTGTCATGTTCTCTATTCAGAAATTCATTCCTCTACTTTAGTTTTCCACTACAGGAGCATGCAGCTATACTAGCTATATCATAACAGCTCTTTCAATGTCTTGTGCACCATCCTTTGTGAAGGGTACCATGTGCCTGTCTACAGCCCATCATTTGAGTGCTCCCAAATGTCCAGAAAGGTCTACATGCAGAAATTCTGTGATGGTTCTGCCCTTGAAATGCTATTCTACAGCAATAACTACTTCTGGACACTGGAGCTTTCTCACTTAGATATAAGTGTTCCATAGTCCAGTTCTTAGAAGGGCATGGGACTAGGGAGTAGGGAGCCTGGGATACAACTTGTGACCTGGCTCAGGAAATAAAAAAACACTATGTGGATAGCTTTGGTATGGGTTACACACTGTGATGTAGACAAGGAAAGGTGGGTCAACTGCAAGCCTGGGCCTAACTTGGGGTAGACATGACGTGGCAGCCTGGAAACAATCTAATTAGAGCTACAGATGCTGGGATTCCAGGCAACTGCTCAGTGAAAATGACATTTTCTCAGGTTTAACATTACTAACAGAAGCTTCAGATTTCATTTTTTGAAATACCAAGTGCCGGTGTTCCTAAATAACGCTTGGAGGAAATTTAAAAAAATTTAAAAAGGAAAAGAAAAGAAAAAAGAATTAATTCTCCCACACCAGGAATCTTCCTTTTTGGCTAGCTGTAGTCTTAAGTATAACATGTAGCACAAACTAGATGTCTCTCATACTACCTCAAATTATTTTTTTCTCTCTTTCAGGGTCATATTTTCTAATGCCATTTGCTTATGGGGGTTTGGATGCCCCATAGCCATTAATTATTTAATATGACATTCAATTCCCTTAGGCAGCATTGAAAAACCTAAACCTTAATGTATGCAGTAAGAATTCCCAACAATAGCTACAATGAAGAAATTGCTCCTTGCTATGAAAAAACGATGAATATGTAAGACAAACTGTATCTGGAGAAAGTAAACACATTAAAATAGGCTACCAGTAGCATCTTTCAAAAGATATACAATGTAAGCCATATACTTTTCAATAGCTCAAGGGACTTACAGTCAATAAATTTAACAGGCTGCAACCAAAAAGTCGAAGCTAAAGTACAGTATGTAAATAGAAACTAGAGTGCAGTCTTCTTTCCAACCTTAGGACAGAGTTAATAGAGGAGAAATGACAAAAAACATAAAAAGGAATATATAGGATTTGACAGAGTATGTTTTTTTTCTTTTAACTTCAAGGCAAACTACCAGACTATTTTGGTTTAGAGAGATAAATCAAGCTAAGAACTTTTATCAGTTTGTATAAAAATCTTATTTTCAGCATTGGGAAGCTTAAGTTTTGGAGCCTTATATTGTATTTGCATGTAGAAAGGGGGGGCGGGATTATAGGGAAAGTAATGTAAATAATGACCCTATCAAAAATAAATTAGCCTCAATGAATATATGATAAAATGGAGATATGCTTTCCACACTTGTAGTTTAAAATATTCACTGCCAGTTTCCATAAACTGGCAAAGTTCATGTACACTCAGGAGAGCCCAGTAATGAGAGTACTAATGGCTGAGTGGAATCTTCTCTGCCTCCTGACACTGTTGAGGCATGTAGTCTGAGCTGCTGACTCCTCCGTTCTGCTAATCCTGATCTAACGTTTATTTGAGGGGGAAAAAAAGGTTCTTTTCTCAGTTCCTGTTATTTATGTAAACTGGAGAGGGCCTTGGCCCAAGTCTCCTCTCACTTCCATCCATTTTAAACCCACCTCACGTGTCTGCCTCCTGACTTACATCAGTATAAATGCAAGTACAAGAAGCTAGACTCTCCGGGTCCAGACAGAAGTGACAATTTTCACCTGATCTGACCACAAAAAACAGATTATAGCCGTGACCAAACACAAGTGCATGGCTGCAAACAGCTTAAAAAATGGCCAGCTGGGTGAAAATCAGACCTCTCATTTCATGAGGTATCAGATAAAGACGTTACAAAATGTAGTGTCTTTTCTAACTTGTGTCTGCTGAGCTCCCAGCCTGTCACTATTTTCAGAATGGGAAGGGGGGAAGGGAGAAGAGGGAGTTCAGTCTGGGGGGCGGGTTTCAGCCCTCCCTGGAGGGTGGTCCGAGTGTACTGCAGCCTTCCCGAAGTGGGGGAGGCTCCATTTCATCCACACCACCCTTCAGCACCAGCTGTGGAGCCCCAAGAATGAGCTCCCTCTACTGCCTTTCCCCCCTCCCATTCTGAAAGCAACAAGCACTGGCAGAAAGCCCTGGCCATTGGTATGGGAACCCGACTTCTGGGAACCAACAGTGAACTTGTGTTTCATAGATTCATAGATGTAGGGTCAGAAGGGACCTTGCAGATCTTCTAGTCCTACCCCCTGCCCTAGGCAGGAGAGAAAACTGAGCTCAAATGACCCCTGCTAGGTAATCATCAAGCCTCCTCTTAAAGACCCCCAAGGTAGGAGCCAGCACTACTTCCCTTGGAAGTTGGTTCCAGATCCTAGTCGCCCTGCCTGTGAAGTAGTGCCTTCTAATGTCTAGTCTGACCCTACTCTGTAACAACTTATGGCCATTTTCCTTGTTACTGCGGGAGGCATTCGGGGGAACAAGGTCTCTCCCATTCTCCACTGGTCCCCCTAGTAAGTTTATAGACAGCCACCAGGTCCCCTCTCAGCCTTCTCTTGTGGAGGCTGAACAGGTTCAGGTCCTGCAGCCTCTCCTCGTAGGGTCTGCCCTGCTGTCCCCAGATCATGCGAGTGGCTCTCCTTTGGACCCTTTCAATGCTGTCCACATCCCTCCTGGAGTGCGGCGCCCAGAACTGGACGCAATACTCCAACTGCAGCCTGACCAGTGTTGCATAGAGGGGGAGGATCACCTCCTTGGACCTGCTTGTGATGCATCTGTGGATGCACGACAAGGTGCGGTTAGCCCTACTGACCGTGTCCTCGCATTGGCGGCCCATGTTCATCTTGGAATCAATGATGACCCCAAGATCTCTTTCTGCCACTGTGATTTTGGGAAGGGAGTTCCCCAGCCTATAGGTATGCTGCTGGTTCTTACTGCCCAAGTGCAGCACCCTGCATTGAATCCCATCCTATTCTCATTTGCCCACCCCTGTAACCTGTCCAGGTCCAGCTGTGTCCTGTCCCTCCCTTCTAGCATGCCCACCTCACTCCAAATCTTGGTATTGTCCACGAATTTAAACAGGGTGCTTTTCACCCCTCATCCAAGTCGCTAAGAAAGAAATTGAACAGTGCGAGCCCAAGGATCAAGCCCTGAGGGACTACACTGCTCACATCTCTCCAGGTTGAATATTACCCATCCACCACCACTCTCTGAGTGCGGCCCCTCAGCCAATTTGTTATCCATCTGACTGTGTAGGCATCAATGCCACAGTCACCTAGCTTTTTAATGAGAATGGGGTGGGAGACAGTGTCAAAGGCCTTCCTGAAGTCTAGAAAGACTACATCCACCATGACACCTGCGTCCAATGATTTTGTGACCTGATCGTAGAAGGCAATCATGTTGGTCTGACAAGACCTGCCTCTAATGAAACCATGTGGTTGCTCTTGAGCATCATCCCTGCTACTGGCCCTTCACAGATGTGCTCCTTGATAATCTTCTCAAAGAGCTTCCCCAGGATCGAAGTAAGAATAACGGGCCTATAGTTGCCCGGGTCCTCCCTCCTCCCTTTTTTGAAGATGGGGACCACATTGGCTCTCTTCCAGTCATTCAGCACCTGGCCAGAGCACCACAAGTACTCATAAAGCCATGCCAGGGGCCCTGTGATAACCCTTGCCAATTCCCTCAACACCC